TTATTCATTATTTGTATTATTATTATTATTATTATTAATACTATTATTATTATATAGATAGAGACATTTGTTCATCACCTTGATGTTCACTTATCCACAAACATGGCCCGACAGTGAGACTACGTAATAAAAGTTCTTAAGAATGAAATAAAATAACTTCTCCACAGAACTTCTTCTAAGGAAACTTCTCCAGAAGGACCTCATGGTACTTGATACATGATACTTGATACATGATACTTGATACATGATACTTGATACATGATACTTGATACATGATACTTCATACATGATACTTCATACATGATACTTGATACATGATACTTCATACATGATACTTGATCATGATACTTCATACATGATACTTCATACATGATACTTGTGTGAATCTGGCCCCTGATTCCTGCAGAAGGGCTTCTATGGACGTGGTCACAGACTACGGCGGGAGAGTAGAAAGTGAGTAGATGACAAATACTACGGCAATACTTCTCTACTCACGCCACCATTCATAACATGAGGAAGCAGGAAGTAAACGGAGCAATCCCAATCTACAAATCACATATCTACAATTATCGACCGTTTTAACAGCGGTCTCATCGTTGGACAAACACAGGCTCAAAACACTATTTAACACAATTATGGGTCTACTACCTTTATGTGCTTGAGCACGGTTAGTAGACTGAACTAGTGAGGGACAAGCCCACTACCCGTGCCCTGGTAGTGTCATGAGCGACACCTGTGTTTGTCCTACTGCCCTCTGTGAAAAGGGTCTACCAGCACACCCCCTCCACATTGGCTCCCGGTTTGAAATCCCACCCTTTGGAACCAGAACCCTCTTGTTAGTGTTATGTTTTAAGCTCAGTGGGTTTCCGGGTTTGCTCCCCCACGTCCGTAGTCTACTGGGGGGTTTTTCCATAATACACTGTGCTGGCCTGGTTTGACTCAGTGCCTCAGCCCAGCGCGGCAGGGATTTGCATCTCCACTTCAACAGGGCTGCCCGCCTGAAGGTGTGTCTTTCACTGACAACGCGCTCAACTTGAGTCGATGACGTTTAAAAGCAGCTTATTGCTTGACAAACTATGTGCTTGCCATTCTATTTTTCTCCCCTTTTTTTTGGAGTTGTTCGCAGTTGAAACAGATGAACAAGTACAGTCTGACAGGCTTTTTAAACATGGCACTGAATAACGACGAATCCCGTCTACGGAACGCGGACTGGCAGACGTCTGGTCCAATCCGTGTGCCATACCCATCAGACCTCACCGCAACCCGCTTGGAGGCGGGGTCAGGGCCGCGCTTTTGCCCAAATCCAAAGAGTGTCCACATGCTTGAGCACGACTCACACAACACGGCGCATTTAAACTGGTAATGGAAATGCAAATCAGTGTGGCATGGTTTGACTCACCGCAGCCAAAAATGCCAAAGGAAAAACCTCATACCTGTAAGCATCTGTGACCAACATGCCTATAAACCCTACCAGCTCCTTATGACTGAACGCATCTGAATTCAGTGTAAGTTCCTTTGGATAAAATCATTTGCTAAATAACAAAGTAGAAAATCTCGAATCTCTAACTATGAAAAGTTGATATAACTTATGTAATATACAGTATGTGAGCAGTGTTTGCCGTTTCCCACTCTCCACTGTACACTGTGCTACAATCTTCTGTATCAGAGTTAGTGATACTTCTAAATGCAACTTTTATGCAGAATTGTGCTTGCTGTAGGACTGTGATCCATCCAACTCTTTCATGTGTATCCAACTCATGGCCGCGGACCAGTTGCGCCCCCAATAAAAGTCCCTATGAAATATGGAAGACGAAGTACAGAAAAGTGCAGAATCCTTCAATTTAATGTTAAGGTTTCACTGCTGCACCACTGACACTTAAAATGCTTTGTGACTCCTTCCTCCGCTGTATATTATCCCTCCTGAAATCCAACTGGATGTAGAGCTCTGTTTTCCTCCTGGAGATTAAAGCGGGTGAAATAAACAGCCGCACACTTTACAGCCTCTGTGGAGAGGCTGTGAACAGATTAAAGTTTTGGTGTGCCAGAATGGAATTCAATACTATTTTTATTACTTTTTCGTTGTTGTTGTTATTATACTAGAGCACAACCATTTAGAAGTTGATGAAAACTGGATTTGGCAGTCATTTCCGGTTTATTCATTGTGGACGGCAATGACTAGCTATGTAGTTCTAGTCAAAGCTGTGCGCAAAAAGATCAAAGGAATACATACAAATTTAAACTGGTACGGTCCTTTAAATGTTAATGTAACAGGTCAACACATTTTTGATTGTTTTATCAGGTTATTGTAGGTTATTGTTGTACAAATCACAACATAGCCTAATGCACAGAGACGCCCTTCCTCGATAGGCTCTTTTATCAAACTCACCAAACTACAAACATTCATTAGCAGATATACAACCTTTCTGTTTTTCAACAGCAACAGGTGCAACTGGTATTTTCTGAAAAGACACAACCTTCCCCCTTCATGTATTTGTATAAGATTTTTCATGTGTGTACCCCATCTTAGCTGATGTGCCACATCTCAAGAGAGGCCAAGTCCATAACACTTTGAAGGCATCTGGCAGCAGGCATGACCGAACTAAAATGCCTGTTGGCTACCAAATGAAAAAAAAACCTTCAACCCTTCTGCTGGACAGCTTGGAAATAGAGTGGGCAGCTTGAAAGACGCCAGCCAATAAGACCACATGTGGAATGAGCAAATATGGCAAAATGGGATGGGGGACATGGCAGGCATCGAGAAAAGAACATCGACTTTGCCCCTTTAATGAGCAAAGACTCTCTCTCTCTCTCTCTCTCTCTCTCTCTCTGGGATGTGAGCCATTACAGGTAGGGTGGAGTCATGGAAAATGTCTACACACATGTGGTACTCAAATGAGCTATGGGTTCAGGGAGCTAGAAAAGAGAGACTTTTCGTTGACATGCTTTGAAAAAGAAAAGTTTCATCAACTGATGATGCCAAATGATCGCTGTACAACTTGTGGTCTCCGGGAGAAGTGACATTATATGGGATGAGGACTGACTGGATATAATTCCTAAATACGTTGAATACAGGTGTATTCAATGTATTTTGGGTATTTTGCTCGTAGTACTAGTTGTCTCGCGATCATACAATGCCACTTGTACTGCTGTTGTTTCTGCTGCAGAAAGTGAAATGGAATTTCAAATAAACACAAACAGACTAAATAAAACTGTTTTCGTTAAGCGGCAGGGGGGCTGTAGATGAAGAGTGACCACACTTCTGAAAAAAAGAAAAGGAGTACTTCTTCTGACATACAAATTGTTATTGCTTTGCTCATAGTGCGTGAGGCTGCCAGCATGGACTGTGCTCTCGTCTCTAAATCCCGGGCAGTCTGGCATGCGCTGCAGAGGTAGAGCGTACCACCCTGACAGATGGTTTCTAAACAGTTTCACCGGTCTGGTCTGCATCACAGTCACATTAATGGCGAAGGTTTGAGTTGAGTCTGACAATAGGAATTGCTGTGTCACGCTCGGTCTTTCTCCGTGAAACACACCTAGAGAAAGTAGACTCCGCTGCGGGGGCATAATCCCATGGTAGTAAACAGCATTTAAAACAGATGCGGAGGAGCAACTCACAGAAATCCTGAGCAACACTTCTTGAAGATTTTTTTATACAAAGCATCAATGTCAAAAAAAGCAAACAATGAACTGGCAGCCACATTCTTCAAACAGCTAAACAGTCAACGTCATTTGATTCTTCTAAATGACTCACGGATTATGTCATCTCTGCATAATTAAACAGGTGAAACCAAACTCGGAGTGAAGTGAAAACCCGCTTCAAGACCCGTCTTCCAAGTAAAAACAACCGAATTAGTTCTGATCCCAGTTTACCTTCTATGACCACAGCCTGGAAAATATCTCTCCTGATACCAGTAAAGGTTGCGCATTTTTAAGATATCCCCATACTTGATATGGGAAATATTTATTATTATATGATTGAATCGATTTAATAAAAGGTCTGAGCTTCTTGGAACACATGGTGGAGATTGAGATGAAATATTGTGCTGGAACATTCCAGTGATCGGGATTGGGATAACGTCCCAGGATATCCACCATTGACAGACTATTGATTTTTGGTTTAATCTGATTGTCTCTGATTTCAGCATATGGTCAAAACTACTATAGTGATACTCATTTCAGTCAGTGTCATCATGTGAAAAATGCAAAGAGTAGTGTTGCTCTTGTGTTTCCAAATACACATTATTAGTTATCCATTAGTTGTTCTCCTCATATTTAGTGAACTACCACAAACCACTATGAGGCATCTCACCTGTTCTTTAATACTGATATCATGTAAGAGCCACCGGCAACAACTTATTTAAGTCATCAAATTGATGGAGACCTACTTATCCTCTGTAGTAGCTGTAGTGGTAGTCGGGCTATCAAGCTACTAATGGGAACATTTATTCCAAGTTATTCTGGACCATATCCAGAATAACATAGCCCTCCTTTCTTTAAAATGCCAATAGTTCAATACATTGTCACATAGGTTTAATACAAAGGGGAGTGCTGATGCTTCATTACGTCAAACAATGAGAGTAAATTGCTGGCTCAAACTTATTTTCAATCGATCCTGTAAGCTCAATGGAGTCAAATGCCAGGGGTCACTGCCCCAATTATCCCTGTTGCATAGGCTACCGTTTGACGAAGATAAACTGCCAAATCTGTTCTGAGAAGTGGTTCATGGACTCTGCATGCAGAACTTTTTAAAGTGTGGTTGTCTTTGGTTAGGAGAAACCTTGCTTTGCTGTTCAGTAGCATCCACAGAGATTGCAAGTCATTTAATTTACAAGAATATTCATGATATTTATATATTTTAAGTATGGTCGCTAACATCAGATATTTTATACTATAAGATGTATATTAGAACTAAATGATACAGACTTAATATCTATTCAATTTCTAACACCTTTCTATTTCTATTTCGGCCTGGCCTGTAGACATCATGAACTCTTTTCCTAGCGTAGCTCAACCGGTAGAGCGTGACATTAACACCGTCACAGTTATGGGTTTAATTCCCACTCGGCCGACCCATGCTGTTGTATTGTACAGATATTGTGAATGAAAGTGTCCACCAAATGGCATATATTTATACCATATAATGAGCTAGCTAGAGAGTACACTCCAGGACACTCCTAGTCCACTAACTCCTGTGAAGGGCAGTACAACTGCACCTATTTATTATGCCGCTTTCTTCCACACACTGGCGGAATTAAAATGAGGGACATTGTGGGGAAGTGAAGTGTTGGATTAGCATGATGACTTGATTGAGGGAAGGCATGTGACATTGTTAACACATGCATGAAGTCGGATGGGTGATTGTACTTCGGTTGTCCTTTTGAAACGCCGTGAGATTAATTACCAGAACGTGTTTCTCATTGGTGTGCCGGGACCGCTTCTCACCTGAAATTGGGGTCAGGGGTACGACTGGGCATGGAAACCGCCAGTCGGTAACGTGGCTCGAGAGAGGAAATAAATAAAAAAAGAACGCATATTTCTGCCTCCTCACCTGTCCCTCACCACCCAACCGGCTGTTTGGCTCCAGCTTTGTCTGTTGGAATGTCCTCCTTCCTCCTCTGTCTGTTTATCCTTTTCTTTCACAAAGAGCTTGTTGTTTTATGCAAAGTTTACATTCAGCAAACTTGAGAATTGTTTCATGAATGGTTAGGAAGGATTAGGGTTAGAGAAACACCTCAGTTATTCAGCCCAGGGTGCAGACAGCGACATACTTAGCATACGCCCAATGACCCCTGTCAATTATGACTGAAAATAAAGACGTGATGTGCTCTGTTTTCAACAAGACCACATTTTGTGGCGATTCAACATTCTTGGGACATGGGTCACATGGTAGATGGGTCACATTGAAGCATACTATTGATAATTGTTGTGTACTTGCTATTGCTGTGTTCAAAAATCTCATATTTAGACAACTCACTACCGAGAGATGTTTTCTGTTTTCCGAATGTTTGTGACGCCCTTTTTTCTTTTCCGGACCAGCTGTTACTGAAGAAAAACAGGAAATGAGTTTGGACGACCTTAACAATGTGGATTAATTGTGTCCTAAAGCAGCATCCCATCATACAACAGAAAAAACAACTTGATGCCGTCATGGTAACCTACACAAAAACTGCAGAATGACGAAGACGCCTTATCTTAGATCGATGGGGCGAGTTGGGGGATAATTATGTTAATAGACACATGGGAGTAGTGGAGCTGCTCGCAGGCACGTCCTCACTGTCCCCTTATTCCATACTTTCCTCAAGGTCCTCAAATTCTTTACTGACCTCAAGCACCCCGTATTCCTTACTGTCCTCATTTTCAAGACTTCAAGGTCCTCATATAGTCCTCAGGTCCTCCAAAAACATGTGTCCTTATTGTCCTCACACAATATTCAAGGTCCTCATACACTTGACTACCCTAATTGTCCTCACACAATCTTCAAGGTCCTGATATACATTAATGTCCTTATTGTCCTCACACAATCTCCAAGGTCCTCATATACATGGATGTGCTCATTTTCTTCAGAATCGTCAAGGTCCTCATGAATATTACTGTCCACATTGTCCTCACGCAATCTTCAAGGTCCTCATATACATGACTGTCCTTATTGTCCTCACACAATCTCCAAGATCCTCATATACATCCCTCATGTGAGTCCTGGTTATCGCCAAGGTTGTCCACATATTCTTCAGTATCCCTATTGCCCTTATTGATAATATGTTCTGAGAATTCAAAAACATGTGGTTAACCAGTTTAAAGATAAGGCAGCTATTTACCAGTCTGTCATAGTTAACCACAGCCAAGCAGAGAGCATAATCCCTGAGTCTGTCAAAGCCAGATATCAACCCTCAGGGTTGACAGATATCAACCCTGAGGGTTGGTATCTGGCTTTCTAATGGCTAAGCCTTCATTTATTACGTTTTATTGTGATTTATGTGTGTGTGTGTGTGTGTGGGGGGGGGGGGGTGTTTCTATGTGACAACGCTATATTGCAAGGCTAATGACTTTACAGGTGGGTGAGCGGTCCGTGATGGACGCCAAGCAGCTGTAAAGATCAGAGTCATCTCGGGCTAATAGATAAGGAGCCAGACATTGTAGCAGACATTTTTATTAGCATTATTATTATCATGAGCTATTGCAATCTATCTGCTTTTTGTGTGATTTAAAATGACAATATGATGATGTTATATTACAATTATTGATAGGGCCATTGGTTGTAAATGGAGTCCTTTCTGGGACTTAAATGTTGATGATAAATGTGTACGAGTGTGTGTGAGCATCTGTACGTGTGTATCTGTACGGGACGGGTTGTGCGTGGATCATGCGTGCACGTCTACGTGCACATGTGTACGTGGGTGCGTGCCCGCGTGTGCTGTGTTAACATGTGTGGTCCTGCCCTGAGGACAGGAGGCATGTCTGTTGATGCTATCTCTTCTTAATCCTTTCCTGCACTCATCTGCTTTAATGACTGTGCTCAACATGGAGGCGTTTCCACAAAGGGTCCCCAGTGCCGTCTCCCTCACCCCCGCTGTCTGCAGACAACCGCTCTCCACAGCTAGCCCCGCCCACAGCCGACTTCTAATGGACCTATGGAAAGGTGAAACACTGGCCGAAACTAAACCAAACCTGCGATCATCGATTGTAATTATTGTACGGTCATGTGAAAAATGTCACTACTTAGTATGTGTTTATTTGAACTAACGTATTTGTGGTAATGATGATATGTAATGACCAAGTAGAAAAGCCTAACCAGGGACAGTGGTCGCAAATTAGCCTTGGCTAGAAATCCTATATGCAACACATCTGTTCCATGTTTACTGTAACCTATTACAATGTTTTCTGCATTGTCTCTGACAAATACATTAATACAATGAGGCTCTACAGAAAACTATGCATAAAATAAAATGATAAAACAGTGCTTTCAACATATAATATAATAATAGCCCAATGAAGGCCAGTCTTATTTTATGTGACATGATGTCCTTCATGTCCTTTCAAAGAGCTCTTGGCTCAAGCCTGTATAAATTTTGCGCACAAAAAAAGATTGTGCACACACAAAATACACAGCTGGCAATGTTACATCTACATTTCAATTCTATCTGTATTATTTTAATCTATGTGGACTGTGTCAACACAGATACTCATATCAGCCACACACACACGCCACAATCTGCTACCCCATATAAAAAAACATGGAATTTCATATATTATACAGGCTGCACAGCCCAATGAGCAGGAATTTGTAGACGAGTTTGTTGCCGTGCAACACTTCTGACACCCGTTCCTTATTGAAGAAGAGGACAAGAGATCAGTTTCCTCTCAGCAAGTTCACCATCCACCTGATCCCTGAACCCACTCCCCAGTCTAGTTGAATTCAAGAATTCAAGAACCTTGATTCAACTCTCTCTCTCTCTCTCTCTCTCTCTCTCTCTCTCTCTCTCTCTCTCTCTCTCTCTCTCTCTCTCTCTCTCTCTCTCTCTCTCCCAGTCATGCCGCCACTCCTGCCTCCCACTCAGGCCTCCCTTGTCTCCCTACCTACTCCACCCACACGTCACCCACCTCCCCACCTTGCACCCACCCAGAGTCAGACAGTGGATGATACAGACAGCACAGGAGGAAGACTTATGTCACACATAGCCTCAGGAGAGAAAATATGAGTCTATTTGTGTGCAGCTGTTACCGGGTAAAATTTGACTTTCACATTTTAGCATGATGCTAATGATACTCAAGAAAAAGAGTTTATTTCTGAGCTTCAACTGTTAACTCAACCCTGAAAAATAAAATATCTGATTGTAAACATGTACACACTAAGACATTGTTGGAAAGCGCATCTGAAGATAAAACCTGAGTTCTCCATACTTGATTTTCATTGGTTGTCTTGATGACTGTCCAATGTGTCGCCTTATGTTTCCGATCTAATTTTACGCTAGGATATTCAACACTTTGTGTATGTTTGTGAGTGGCAGTCTGGCAACTAAAGCTTAGGAAATATGGCTCAGTAAATAGAGGACTCAGACATGTTTCCAAAGCAAACTGCAAAGAGGGGATATCATGTGGTAGATATGAATCATTATATGAAATATGGATTTAACATTAAATAACCGCATCAGAAAAAAACATGGTTAGATATAAAGCAAGCCCATTTGTGAATTACAACAGGAGTACAAGGGAGTGTCTCAACTGCAAACAGTTGTTGTGCATATTGCTTGCTTGGAGTCATGGTAACAGCTTGGAAATCGAACAAAGTCAATTTTGTAAAGACAACCAATTTTTGCTCTTTGGTGACTTTTTTTCTGGAAGTTTGTTAAAGCAACTCTAAATAAATAAAACTTCCACCGCTGCAGCGTGCGCTGGCCTGCTGTCAGAACCGGTCGAAATTGGGGTTTTCTGTATAGCGCTCCCGATTGCAACTGGCAACAATCGCATAGGCTTTTGTTACATTTTCCAGGTTAAGTTTGGGGCTTCATCTTTCCAGCTGTTTTCAAGCAAGCTCTCGCTATTTTGTATAAAAGAAAGGAACATATCCCATGTGTTGGTTTCCGAGGTCAATATCCATTTTTATTTGTAGGAATGGCCCTGTGCATCACATCATATAAACAGCAGCATTTAGCATGGCTAAATACAAGTGTCATGGTGATGTAGTGCCACTAACTGTATCCTTATGCTGCACACTTTTTCGTTTTGTTTTTGTTTATTGCACTGTCACCGACGTTTATGAGACATAATTTATGTAACTTTTTCTTTTTTGTTTGTTTACCAAACATTGCATAAATGCCTTTGTTTTTACACCATTTTTTGTTTAGTTTTTTTTTTTTTTTTGTTTCTTCAATTCCCTCCACTTCTAAATTCTCCAAACACGAAACACTGTGTTGAACTTCTGGACGTCAGCCTGGAACTAGCGTCTTGAAGGGCCGGCCGGCTTGCTGCACATGGAGGAGGACCCCAGCTGTCAACATTGGGATTTGAAAATAAGGGACATTTTTCCTAAGTGAATCCTCAAATCACCACTTGGCAACAACTTGCTTTAAAATATC